CCCAACATGCACTTGAACCAATTAAATCACAATTTCTGGGAGCAGAAACCAGCCATGGGTCATATTTAAAAGTTTTCCAGGTGGCTGCAACTACACAAAACTGTGAGAACCCATGGTTGATCCCAGGTCATGCACTCTGTCACTGACAGCCGAACACAAGTCCCTATGCACAGCGAGCAGCTTGACTCTTCCTCTAGTCCCAGGGCGAACATGTTTTTTTTTTAGATTTTTTTTTTTCAATGGAGTTCATTGGTACATTCTAGGTATTCAGTACAGTTACATTCATTACTGGGATCTTGTACCTTTACATGACAGATCTTGGTTCTCATTTTTTCTCCCCTTGTCCCTGCCCTCCCTTCATCCCCTCCCCATTTACAAACATTTTATTTCCATTTTTTCATTTTCTCATATTTTTTTCTTCTTTTCCCTAATTCCTTTTCCCCTATCCTTCCCACTTTCAGGAGAAAATGCAAGATCCGGGGCGAACATCTTTAAAACAAGAGATTACAATGCCTGCTGCTTCCCCAAGTACTTAGTGACCTACTCTCTGTCAAATGTTGTGGACACAATGGTCAGTGATCAGTTCCTGCCCTCACGAAACTTAGCTATGTTGTCTGAGAAGTAACACAAATGTGTTCAATGAGCAAAAACACCACAGTAACCTCCTACAATATTCGTGGGAACCGCAATGCAGAGTCTAGGAACAGTGCACGGATAAAGAGAAACCACATCAACCACATGAAGGGGAAACTAACGGCCTATTACAAATCTGACTCCTGTTTCAGTGAAATGCTTGGTAATTAATTGCACAGAATAATTCACCAGCACTGCTGTATCCTCAGTATACACACCCAGCAGCACTAGAAATGATGCTCAGCATATTCTACATTTTTTATTTATAGTAATCCAGAACAATGCTACATTGACTTGAAGAAACTCCAACTCCAATTACTTCTGACAGCATGGCTAATGAAGCATTCGCCATGACTATAAAACTTTCAAAATAGAGCACCCCTGAGAAATGTACATGAGGACTGCATCACACTAAAAACATTTTGTGGAGAACAGAACAGTTATTGCCTCATTTTTCAGATAGCACCAGAAAACAATAATTACTCCACAAAAGACCATTTAAGATGATATTTTTTAGGGAATCAAATGCTCAAGGTTCTAAACATTAAAACCCACATCCCAGAGGATTTAACAAAATGGAAACTCCTTGCATTTTCTGTAAAAGAGGGAACTTTTTCTTTATAAATCTATAGATATGGATCATAGTGTCCAGTTTCAGACAAGGTGGAGAGCCAGCCTACCTCCTGAAGATGGCCCAAAAGAGAAAGGGAGCTAGGGCGTGGAGGTCAGGTTCCCAACTACAGGGATAGTCCAGGGCCAGAGAGCACTGGTGGCCACAGAAGAAGGGCTGATCTGGGAGAGTCCTCTATTCCACCCCACCCTACTCCAGTTATCATCCCAGGCAGATATGCAGAATCATTGTCAGTACACTGCTGGTTTGGGTGGTTCACCAGTGCGAAGTTCCCCAAGTCAGGCTCATGAACACCTTGCCATACCCACAGGCCGGCAGGGTTAATGGGGACCAGGGCCAGTGCTTGGGAGGAAGAGGACGAAAGGAAGGTAGTGAGGGTCCCAGACTTCACTCCAGTCCTGAAGCACCTTTTCCACCAGGCCATCTCATCTGGGGAGCATAAGCAGGGGATAGGCTTCTATCTCTCCACTCCCAGGTAGAAAAAGCATGCAAGGCAGCAAAACATCAAATCAGTAATAAAAGGTACAGATATCAGAGAAACACGAACTATGAAAGGGAGAGAAAAAAAGAATGAAACCATTTACACCAGAAGACGTAGACCTAATGGAAGACAAGTATACAAACTGAAAGCAAATATTTTAAGCAGCACCAGTGAATTCTGGGAGGCTATTGAAAATGAAAATAGTAGGTCTGGAAAATCACAGTTTTGATAAGGGCATTGAAAGGATGGCTAGAAAAGCAGCATGTGGTGAAAGCCTGACCTAGTGATCTGGGAGATTCATCAAGGTACTCTCAGAAGGGATCAGGTCTGGACGACAAAATAGAAAAAAAAAAATGTGACAGAACAGAAGTGTTAGCATCCTTCTCAGAACATCTCAGACAGGAAAAAAAAATGTATAAAAGGAAATAGTAAAAGAAATAAGGCCCAGGAATTTGCCTCCATTAAAGACAGACATAGTACTTCAGATTGAAAGATCTTACACAATGCGAAAATAGACTGGAGAAGAAAAAGTCACACCTAGATCTACTATAAGAAAGTTTTAAATGAAATTAAAAGAAAAAAATCTAAGCCAGGATAGTGGTACATACCCGTAACACCAGCACATTGGCAAGGTGAGACGGGAGAATTCCAAATTCAAGCCCAGCCTGGGCAATTTAACTTAGTGAGGCCCTGTCCTACTTAGTTTCTTTTTGCTGGGAAAATATACTCAGCACCTATAAGTAAAAGGAGGAAAAGTTTATTTTAGGTCCCAGTTTGTAGAGGTTTCAGTCCAGAGTTGGCTGGTTCCAAAGCAGCATGGCGCGAGAGAGGAGAAATAGTTCATGGAATGGCAGACAGGAAGCGATGAGACTTCCTTCTTTCTTTCCCTTTTTACTCCATTCAGGCTACAAGCCTATATTGGTTGGTGCCACCCACACCCAGACCAGCTCTTCCCCCTTTAGTAAATCTATCACCCACACACAGAACTATGCTAAACCAAAAAGTAGACTGATCCAGTATCACATACCCATGATCCAGTCACCTCCGCAAAGCTCCGCCTAGAGTGCATGAGGCTTTGGGGGAGGAGGTCATCTAGATATAAGCCATAATAGTTCCTGACTCAAAAAGTTTAAAAATAATGTAAAAGCTGGCAATATGGCTAAGTACAAACATCCTGGGTTCAATCTCCAGTACCAAAAAAAAAAAAATCAGGAATCTAAAAGCTTCCAGGGTCGGGGGGACCAGAAAATCTATAAAGAAAAAATAATCAGATTGACACCAGAATTTCAACAGTGCATATTTAAAGGAAAAAGGAATATTCCCAAATTTCCACAGCATAAATGAAAAAAAAATCTTGGAATCCTTAGTTTAGTATTCAGCTGCATTATCATTAAATTGAAGGTAAAAATTTAAAAATCTGAAACCCTTTCACTTTGGATACGAAGAACAATGAGAGACTCACAGGAGTCTTCTTGCTAGAGCAACTGTTCTGTAGATGGTACACAAGACATCTGACAAGAAATCAGAGGTTTCTAAAGAACACCCTGCCCGTGTGGCATCAGGGAGCAGGCAGTGGAGGCGAAAGGACTGGGGATGGAGGCCTGCTGATGGGACACTAAACTTTGGGCCAGCATCCTCTCAAGCCTGGGAGAAACCACACCTTAAATGCCCTAAGCAAGACCCTCCAGGGGTCTGATGTAGTCTCAGACCAGCGGCACCCCTGGGGTCTTACAAGAAGCAAAAGTAAACTGTCTGGGAAAGAAATACCTCTAATGCCTATCTCTAGACCCCCCCACACACAAAGGCAGTTCAAGCAACAAAGTCAAAATCAAGACCACCGAGCAAAAGGAAAGGAACCGCAAAAAAAGGAACTGTCTCTCTAGGAGAGAGACTTAGTAGAAACAACCAGGCATGCATTTAAGACCTCCAAGAATGACAGGCATGGTGTTGTATACCTGTAATCTCAGCACATAGGAGCTGAGGCAGGAGGACCATTTCAAGCACAAGGCCAGCCTGGGCTACATAGCAAGATCCTATCTCAAAAACAAAGAAACAAAAAAATCTCCATGAATAGCAGACATTAAAACTTCTACCTATAGGGCCGGGGATTTAGCTCAGCGGTTCAGTGGCCTGCCTCGCAAGCACAAGGACCCGAGTTCGATCCCCGGTACAAAAAAAAACCTTCTAGATATAAAACACAGAACAGTGGCATATGAAATAAGAGATGAGGTCACAGAGATACACAGACATAAAAGCTATCAGGAAAGAGTACACAATGTAAAAACAAAGGGCAAACATGAGAAATTAAAATCATAATTTTTAAAGATTCTCCAAAAAAGTAAAAAACTACATAATCTTACTTATATGTGGAATCTAAAAAAAGTTAAACTCATATAAACAGAGTGGAGAAAGACAGTTATAGAGGTTGGAGGGGTTAGGATGGAAAGAAGAGGTGTTAGCCAAAGGGTGAGTTTCAATTAGACTGGAAGAATAAGGTTTGGGGATCTATTACAGTATAGGACATGGTGACCGCAGTTAATATTTCAAAATAGCTATGAAAGTAAACTTTAGATATCTAAGGTGATAATATTAATTAGCTTAATTATTCGACACTGTACACCTCTATCCAAACATGACACTGTAGCCTAAAATGTATACAACTGTAATGTGCCAATTCAAAATATTAACTTCAAAAAGACTCTCAAGATGGTTCAAGCAACAGATTAGAAACTGCTGAGAGAAGAATAAGTAAAATGAAAGGTATAGTCAAAGAAATTACACGGAGTATAGGAATGACAGAAAAGATAAAAAATATGAGAGACATTAGGAGATCGGGTGATCAAACTGTGTCAAAAGAACTGAGAAAAGCGAAAAGAGACAAGTTTTCAGAAAATAATGACCATGAATTCTTCAAATTGGATTTCCGAGCAGCCCAAGCATGAAAAATGAGAAAATTCACACTCATCACAGTGAAACTGAAAACACAACAGGAAGGCCTTAAAAGCAAAGAGATATCACTCATCCTCAGAAGGAGAGCAAGTTTCTCCAGAAGAACAATGGGGGCCGGAAGACAGCGGAATACTGTCTTCAAAACACAGAGAAAACAGTTGCTAATTTAACATTTTGTGTCCAGCAAAGTTATTTTAAAATGAAAATGAAATAAATACCTTTACAAAAGCATGCTTTAGCACCAAAGGATCTATACTTAAGCTTTTAAAGTTTGTTAGGAAAAGAAAAACAATCCTAAGAAGTTACCTGATGTGCAAAACGAGAGAAGATGACGAAGAAGAATGATAATAAACTTGAGGTTGTGCTATTGTGTGCATTTGGGGTTTTCTCCATGGTTCCGGACTCAAAACTCCCTCCCCAAAGCAAGTGATAGAAACTAGAATTTCTCTTCCCCAAGGCAGATCATAGAAACATTTAACTTCCCCTACATTTGCGTCTGGGAACCAGCAGCGAAGAAATTCTCTTCCTATCCTTGACTGAGAGCGCACAAGCCCCTCCTCATTGCACAGGGCTCCAGCCACACGCTGTGGAAGGGAGGAGCGCTGCACAGAGGGGCCAGGAAGAATCAGATTAGCCAGGCCTGGTGGGGCTCCCCACCCGGTCTATTAACAATCGCACCTACACAATGAAGTCTCCACGAAAACCAAGAGGACAGGGTCAGAGCTTCCAGACAGTGCCGTGTGAGGAGACTCCAGGAGCATGGTGCACACAGAGAATCATCCGAGCTCCAGGGCCTCTTCCATAAGGCACCCTGTGCTTTCTTACAATAACCGGAAACCCTGTGCCCCAGAGTTCTGTGAGCTGTTCATGTAAAGTACTCGGATAGGGGGTTGTGAGGGCCTTGATTTATATTAGGTTAATCCCTGGGGTTTGTGGCTGACATCTGGAGTGGGGAACGGTCCTGGAGACTGAGTCCTGAACCTGTGGATTCTGACACTGGGGTGCATCAAAGGAAATCTGTCTGGAGAGACAGTACTGCTTGCTTGGGGGCGGGGGGGGGAGTCCCCACCTCTTGTATGAAAGTAGAGAAGAAAAGGACTCTTTGGGTTTTGAACACACAGACATAAATCTAAACAATATAGACTGAATAAAACAAGAAAGATGTCTAAGTTAAGGAGTTTTTTTTCTGAGATTTCTTCCAACTAAAATAATGAACAAAGGCATTCAACTGGGTTTGTGTGTGGGTTTAAAATAGTTAATATGAAAGCTTCTAAAGCTCAGTATATAGGGTAAAATTTCAAGGGAACCCTAGAAAAATATGGCATGTAAATTCCAAAGGGGGAAAAAATGGAATATAAATAAAGGAACCAAAAAAAAAAAAAAAAAGTCCAACCCTTCTCCCAAAAGAAGCAAAACATGGAGAGCGTGGATAAGAATAGGAAAAGCAAACAAATGGAAAAATAGTGATTACAATGGAACAAACACATCTAAACATATCAGTAATCACAAAATGTATAAATAAATTAAGCATTCCCAGAAGACAATAGATGCTGCAATTTACGTAGCTGTAATCCAAACATGGGCTGAGGGTGCAGCTCAACGGTAGAGCCCGTGCCTAGCATACATGAAGCCCTGGGTAACATCCTGAGGGGGCGAAAATCCAAATATATCCCTAAAGTGCAAGAACACGACAAGAGGACTCAGACAGACAAACCAGGTCTCTGGGGATCAGTATTAGGAAAAATGTATTTTAAGCCAGGTATGGAAGTACACACTTGAAAACCTAGCTACTTTGGAGCCTGAGGCAGGAGGATTGCCAAGTTCACGAACAGCCTGGTCAACTTTTTTGAGATCTTTTCTCAAAAGAAAGAGGGGGAAAAGGGAGCTGAGGACGCAGATCAGTGGTAAAGTGCTTGCCTAGCACACACCTGGCTTGGTTCAATCCCCAGCACTGCACAAAAAGAAAGAAAAAAGGAGGAGAAGGGAGGGAAGGAAAAAGAAGGGGAGGGAAGGGGCGAACACACGCACAAGTGAAAATTGAAAATGTTAAGAGCTCTCTAACAACTAAAGTCAGACTCCACTTCTGTGGGTGCTACCTCTTTGGAATCAATCAACCGTGGAGCCAACATATTTGAAAAACAAATTGTACTGAATAGGTATTAAATTTTTCTGGTCACTATTCCCTAAATAATACAGTATAACAACTATATACATAGAATTTATACTGCTTGTGTGCATTATGAGCTGATTTAAAATACACAGGAGGGTCTGAGGGTACACCTCAGTAGAGCACATGGTCTGCATGCAGAAGAACCTGGGTCCAGTCCCCAGCACCACCCCCCAAAAAACAAAATAAAAAGAAAGTATACAGGAGAATACAGTGCCGCTTGTGTGAGGACCTCGAGTATCCACACATTTTGGTGTCTGCAGGGTCCTAACCACTCCCCCATGGGTGCCCAGAGATGGCTACACTGCAGTACTAGTGCAAAGCCAGTATAGTACTAAAAAATAAAAACTCTTAAGAAGTGAGTGGACATTCATGTCCAAAGCACAGAAAACGTGCTACAGAAAATAAGCCCGATCTAAAGATTCTTAGCAATGTACTTGGTCAAACTATTTTAAAACTGCATTAAAAAAAAAAATCACAGCAGTGTCCCTTTCTGTCCTGCAGCCCTCTCCGCTGAAGGCTCCAACTCCAGGCTGATCACCAGCCATCTTCCCGCCCACCCTCCTCCCTCAAGGTCTCCCTTCCTATTTCTCACCTTTCAGGCTGGTCCAACAAAGAGGACCTGTGTGACTTGAGAGACAAAGCCACTGTCAACTGCTTTAAATAGCAATTATCTATGCGCCATTGTTGTGATATAGGTTTTTAGATATTTCTTTTGTATTTCTGCCATTTCCCTGACTGCCATTTTCAGTTAACATTTAGAAGTTACAGGTATTGAGAAGGCTCCTTGTTTGTTTCTGGTTTCCTTTTCTTGTCTTAACACATACCACCTAACACTGTGAAGTGAGCTCAAATGAGCAGGCAACTTTGTATTAGTTTTGCTTTAAATGGAAAAGCTTCTATGTGCTTAGAAGTCAGTAAGATATCAGCTGGTTATTTCAAAGATATTCTTCGTTATGATGAGGAAATATCCTTTTCTTTTTATATAACTATTTTTATTAACATGTATTAACTGTACATATTAAGGAGTTCATGGTAATATTTTCATTCGGGCATACAGCACACACTGAAATACAGCCTCCCTTCAGCACAACCTGCCCCACCTTCACACACCCTTCCCAACCTCTAGTAATGACTATTCTGCTTTCAGATCACCTTCTTTTTAGCTTCCACATGTGAGAGAACATGCAGTACTTGTCTTTCTAGGTTTGGCTTGGAAATACCCATTTCTAATGTAAAACAACTGTTAATAAATGTTGGTTAGGAGAAGCTGGGAAAATAATACATGAGAATACACTTCCTATCTTTGCATTTCTACTGAAAATCTAAAATTATTTCATAATAATAAAGTATTTAATAAAAATTGATGTTGATCCCCAGAGCGGTGGTGCACACCTGTAATCCCAGCACTAGGGAGGCGGAGGCAAGAGGATCACCACGAGTTTGAGGCCAGCCTGGGCTACATAGTGAGTTCAAGGCCAACCTAAACTACATAGTGAGACCCTGTCTCAACAAAAAAGGAAGAAAAATAGATGCTGACCTTTACAAACTGCCTTCTCAGCATCTATTCAAGTAATCATATGGATTTGGGGTACATTTTTACATGCTGTAGTCAAAGCATAATTTCATCTGCTGACCTTTCTACATCTGTTTTTACTTGCTTCTAATCCATTCGCCCTCTACACAATATAATGATTTTTTAGAACTGTGAATGAGATTCTTCTTGCACTCCTGATTAAAATCCTTAAATTGCTTTCCACTGCACTCAACATAAAATCCAAAATCCTTTAATGAGCCTGAAGGTCTCACATGATATAGTTCCGCTCACCTCCCCACTCTGCTCTGCTCTGACCACACTGGCCCTCTCATTTCCCTCTGATCATTCGTCCATTCTGTTCCAATGGCTTGGAAACCTTTCCTACTGTGGCTAGTTTTTCCAGATCTCAGCTGAAAAGTATCTGCCCAGAGCAAAGCTTTCCCTTCTCCATCTACCAGGCCCCCTGTCATTCTATTCCATAGTGTATTACCTTTCTCTCACATTTCCTACAAGTCATAGCTGTGCTATGGTTTTGTTTTTGTTTTTTATTTTGAGACAGGGTCTCACTACGTAGTTGAGACTGACCTGGAACTCACTATGTAGCCCAGGCTGGTCTCGAACTCACAGCGATCCTCCTGCCTCAGCCTCCCAAGTACTGGGATTACCAGCCGTGCTATGATTTGTGGGATACTCTGTTAACAGCCACACTCAGTAGTCTACATGAGGTATGATTGAAAAATACAGTGAATGCTTAAATTTTTAAAAATTTATTACAGTAAAAGACGCATTGCCATTAATCCACTTCAAAAACACTTCCCCTCACTTCAAATACACATCTCATTGTCCTTGCCACTTTCTGAAGCAGTTCTGGAAGTTTCCTTAGCTGTGCTGCACTGTCTGCCTTGATGTCCTGAATCAGTTCAAGCGCTTACTTTCATGGTCATTTTGACTCTGGAGAAGAGCTAGAAATTGCACAGCAACAGAACCAGTGAGTAAGGTGGATGAGGCCACACTGTGATGTTTTCATGAGCACCAGCCGCCCTACTAAACCTTATCCATCTCTCTTCTGCATTTATGAATCTCACTGACACTGGGTAGTGACTTCCCCGGGTAGCTCTGCATTTCCATTCAATAGTGCTCGTCAGAAGCATTGGCTATACTTTTTTTTTTAATCACACCTCATAAAGACACAAAAGGGACTTCTAGAACTGATCCAGAAAGTGCCAAGAACAATGCGATGAGTGTGTTTGAAGCCGAGGGAATATTTCAATGTGTTTCTTCTTTTTTTTTCTAAGCAAAACATTTATTGGTGCATTTCAGATATACATAATGGTAACACTCATCATCGGAATGGCCATGTGTCTTTCAGTGTGATAAAATTTTATAATTTAAAGATTCACCATATATTCTGATTATCCTTTGAATGTCCTTAAGGAAATCAACTCAGGAGTCTTCACTGCTACCTACTCAGTACTGAGCACAAATGCCTGGCACACAACAAAAAAAGTGTTTAACAAGTATTTATAATATCACATGGTCTTGGCAAGTCACTTAGCCTCAGTGGCTCTGTTTCCGGTCTGGAAAGTGGGACTGAGAAGACCCCACCTCACAAACTTAGGTGCTGAGGTTTAAACCAATTAACACACATCCAGCACTCTGAAGCCAGACCTGGTGTACACACAGGGCTGA